GCAGTAACAAACAATACCTGACTATAGCTAACCCTGTCACGGGTCATATACAGCAGTAACAAACAATACCTGACTATAGCTAACCCTGTCACGGGTCATATACAGCAGTAAGAAACTATACCTGACTATAGCTAACCCTGACATGGGTCATATACAGCAGTAAGAAGCTATACCTGACTATAGTTAACCCTGACATGGGTTACAGCAGTAATAAACTATACCTGAGTATAGCTAACCCTGACATGGGTCATATACAGCAGTAAGAAACCATACCTGACTATAGCTAACTCGCCCGGCATGGCCAGGTGGTTAGGGTGCTCGACTCGCAACCTGCAGTTCAATGTTTTGAATCCCTGTCACACCAAACATGCTCGCCATTTCAGCCGTGGGAGTGTTATAATGTGATGGTCAATCCCACTATTCGTTGGTAAAAGAGTAGCCCAAGAGTTGGTGGTGGGTGGTGATGACTAGCTGCCTTCCCTCTAGTCTTACACTGCTAAATTAGGGACGGCTAGCGCAGATAGCCCTCGTGTAGCTTTGTGCGAAATTCAATACAAACAAACAATAGCTAACTCTGATATGGGTCTTATACAGCAGTAAGAAACTGCTTGAGCATAAAGACCAAAAATTACTTTATCTAACTTCAAGGAAGTTTACATTCTGAACTAAAGAACTTTGATTTATTTAAGTAATCTTTTAATTTTCATGAAATATGGAGAGTTGATTCAGAGCTACTTATCTGAGTTTTTAATAAGTTTAGTTTTTTATAGCCAGGTTTGCCCTAGTGGTTAACATGATCAAACTGTGAATCTGATGTTTTGATGGCTCACGTTTCTGCAAAAATTCTTTCTGTATGTTTGGCTACTAGTACACTATAAGCGCAGTGGTAAATCCCTCTTCCCTTTAGACTAGTGTACCAGCTAAAATTAAAGATAGCTATGGACAAATAGCTATTATTTAGCTTTGTGTTCAGAAATTGTCAAACTAAGGAACATTTTAAAATTTTGAATATTAGATGTTAAGAAAATCCAAAAATTTATCATGGTGGAAGGTTACAAAAAAATACTGTCTTTGAATATTCTGTGTCTCCTCTACTAGAATATGACTGAACTTTTAGAATTATACACAAGTGATCTTAGTATGAGCATTTTTTTTGTTTTATGTCTTATTGTGAATACTTTAAGATAAACTGTTTTCATTTTGACAAAAATTGATGATCAGATAAAAAAAAAAAAAACTAATCCACCCAGACTTTATAAATCAAATTTATTGAGTGCTGGTAAATAAAAAGATTTCAAGTATTTGGTTTGCAACTAGGGTGACTAATTTTGACTTTGTTTAATTCGTTCCTTCCATTGAGTTAGTAAAAAATTGCACGATAATATTTTTAAAACATTGCTAGTAAATTATTTCATTTATGAGACAAAAGTTAGGACTTATAAGATGTTTCTTGTTTTTATAGCTATTGTAACAGCAACAGTATAAAAGATAACCCTTGCTTTTCAGACAGCTCAAACTCGCTGCCAAGACACCATTGATTTGATCAAAACGAGGCAAGCCACATTAATTAGAGCGAAACAGCAAATGGAATTAGAATCCTTACAATGGAGTTCTCATCTGCCTGTTGGATCTCGAGCCTCCCATGCCGGTACAGTCCATTCCCAGTATTCCTCGATTTCACAGCGTACCAGTACCCCCATAAAAGGAAACCCTGGCTTCTCCCGTCGAAGGTCGATTTCCAACACTTCTTCCAACTATAGTTTTCCCGTGGGATCTTACACTTCTTTTCCTAGCAACCATCCTTCTGGATCAGCAGCCATGGATAGTTTTCTGTTGGATCATTACATGGAAGAGAAGGAGGAACAGCTAATTAGCCAAGGCCTCATAACGGAAGACCTTACCACTCAGGGTCCAGTTGCAACCATTTCTCGGAGCAAGCTTGAAGCTAGGGCGAGCAACTCCAATCAGAAAGAAGCTCCTCCTGGTGGAGTGATAAAGAGTCATAGTGGAGGAAGCCTTATTGGACTGAAGGATAAAATAATAGGTGGCATTGTGGCTGGAGCTGTCTCTATTCAGAATTCAGCCAAAGATGGGCATTTTTATCACCGACCAATCAGAAAGCTGATGCGTCACAGTCACACCTGGCAACCTTGTGAAGCAAACACCTGGCATTCTACCTCGGATAGCCAAACTCCCGTTAGCCCAAACCTCCAGCAGGTAGTCTGCGAGAATGAGAAGAAGGACGAGAGGTGAGAAAGCTAGCTTGATTTAATCACAAGTGGAAAAGTCAGAATAAGATGTAATATATCTATTGTCACTTGTCTTCCACCAGCATCTGGTAACAATAAGTTTTACACACAAACCACTAACACATGCACAAACTCTTAATAAATGTTTTATATTGTTAATGAGGCTTTTCTATACAAACATTTAGTATGATGAGCCATTAGCATCCCAGTACTATGATTAATAAGAATCATTATTGGTTAATGAAAGATACCTGGCATCATCTAGTTAAAAACAAATATTTTAGTATTGCATATGATTTTGTAACCTTCTTAGATAGTGGTGCCACAAACAAACTAGGCTTTAAAAAGTTACATTGTTTGTAAAACGTGTGAAAAGTCAGTAATACTTTCTTGCAGTTACAACATGGAAATCAAGAGATGTATTGTTGATGTTATTGCAACTCAAAACCTCTCTGTTGTTTTATCTTTAAGATGTACAACTCTTAATTTAACATAAAGCCTACTGTACTCTTTAAGATGTATAACTCAACTTATTCTAAAGCCTAATACCTTCTTTAAGTTGTGTAACTCAACACATTCTAAAGCCTAATACCTTCTTTAAGTTGTGTAACTCAACACATTCTAAAGCCTAATACATTCTTTAAGTTGTATAACTCAACTTATTCTAAAGCCTAATACCTTCTCTTAGTTGTATAACTCAACACATTCTAAAGCCTAATACCTTCTCTTAGTTGTATAACTCAACACATTCTAAAGCCTAATACCTTCTTTAAGTTGTATAATTCAACACATTCTAAAGCCTAATACTTTCTTTAAGTTGTATAACTCAACACATTCTAAAGCCTAATACCTTCTTTAAGTTGTATAACTCAACACATTCTAAAGCCTAATACCTTCTTTAAGTTGTATAACTCAACTTATTCTAAAGCCTAATACCTTCTTTTAAGTTGTATAACTCAACTTATTCTAAAGCCTAATACCTTCTTTTAAGTTGTATAACTCAACTTATTCTAAAGTCTAATACCTTCTTTAAGTTGTATAACTCAACTTATTCTAAAGCCTAATACTTTTGTTAAGTTGTGTAACTCAACTTATTCTAAAGCCTAATACTTTTGTTAAGTTGTATAACTCAACTTATTCTAAAGCCTAATACTTTTGTTAAGTTGTATAACTCAACTTATTCTAAAGCCTAATACCTTCTTTTAAGTTGTATAACTCAACTTATTCTAAAGCCTAATACCTTCTTTAAGTTGTATAACTCAACTTATTCTAAAGCCTAATACCTTCTTTTAAGTTGTATAACTCAACTTATTCTAAAGCCTAATACCTTCTTTAAGTTGCATAACTCAACTTATTCTAAAGCCTAATACCTTCTTTAAGCTGTGTAACTCAACTTATTCTAAAGCCTAATACTTTCGTTAAGTTGTGTAACTCAACACATCCTAAAGCCTAATACTTTCGTTAAGTTGTGTAACTCAACACATCCTAAAGCCTAATACTTTCGTTAAGTTGTATAACTCAACACATCCTAAAGCCTAATACTTTCGGTAAGTTGTATAACTCAACTCATCATAAAGCCTAATACTTTTGTTAAGTTGTGTAACTCAACTCATCCTAAAACCTGCTTCATTTCTTCAAGATATGTAACACCAAATTTAACATAAAGCCTGCTTCCTTTGCTCACTATTTCAGGAAAGAAGCTGTAGAGAACACTGAATCCCCAGATGTCAAGAGGTTTCCACACCCTTGTGATGGCCCTGTTCCTGTTAACAGTCACTTGACAAAAACACTCAGTTTTCGATCAACTCAAAGGGGTGGTCGAGGAAAAGAGAAACAACCAAAAATTTCAAAGTAAACACTTCACAAAGAGTTCTGTCCATGTGAATATGTCGTGAAAAACTTTGACTATCGTGATTTATTTTTTTGTTATTTTTGCGAATTAACAAAATAACCCTGATTTTCTGTTATAACCATAAAAATATTGTTTTTTTTTACCTTTCAAGACACTGCAACAGTTACTTTAAATAGAAAAGTTGTTGAATACCAAACAATTCAGACTTTTTCCACCAGACACATTCAATTGTGTAAAACAATTTTTGTCAAGATAAGTCTATGCATGATAGGTAATAGTATTAATTTTGGGCAAAATTGCTCAATCATTTTTTTTTTTTGTAGAGGTGAATGTATTGATGGCTGTAATATGTAAAAATACAAGTGACAAGAGGTGAATGTATTG